CGACGCCAGAACATTTGGTACTCCGAGTCGTCAGCGATGTCCAGCAGCAGGGGGACGAGTAACGTCAAGGTGGTGATCCATGGCACAAGGGCTGCCTGTAACAGCCCCGTAGCTAACAGACGGGTTGCACGCGGAGTGAAAGTGGTGGCCATTGAGGGGCTGAATGAAGTGCCAGGGAGTGGTTACTTTTAATAGTGGAGTCAGTGCTGTGGCTCTTGGCTAAATGTGCGTTGCCGACCCGTGTGTGAACGGAGCCGCGGTAGCAATGTTCAGGCCGTGGTCGAGCTTGGAGTGGCGTTCCAATATCGGGTGCACATGTGCAACTCCGTCGCACAATTCGGCCATTTGAAAGTTTACAACTTCCTGGAGTCGGCCAGCAATTCGCTCTGGAAAGTTGTAAAATTTGCAGACTTGCAAATACTGGCCGGTTATTGGCCGACTCTGATTCGGCCATCTGGTCGACATGTGCGAAAGAAGTGTCGACCATTTGGACGACAAAATCCCGGCCAAACCCAAATTTTCAAAATGCTCGCCGATTTTACACGCCCTTATACATGTGTCCTGTGGATTTAGGAAGAGAGGTCACAGATCTTGCCTACACTATGTTTACAAAAGAGAAAGCAAATTGATTCAGTGTGAACCGCACTTGGGCTTATGAAAATGGTGTTAGCACCCTTTTTCCAGGCATCGTATACCGTTGTGACCTTTGCCTCACCCATCGCTTGATATTGATGTAGGTGTCCCTTTGCACCAACACAGCCTCGCGCCCCGTGAGCACCACCAGCATCACCAAGCCAAAACTGCAAGTCAAGCAAACAGAAAGGACATCATTTCTGAAGCAGTGTTTACGTGTGACACCTCTAGCAGTAACATTGGACATCAATACAGTCATCCTCACTATTATAGGCCTGTTCACAAGCACTCGTCTACCAAGCCCTCATCTTTGAGAGTCCGAGCATCTGAAAGTCTTTGATTGATCAGAAATGGCAAGGCATGTGTTAATGCCATCCATGGACTGCTAGTATGAATGAGGCAAGAGAAAGGCAAAAAACATAGTGAAGTATAAAAAATACCCCAGAGCGTTCTCACAAACATCCCATGCTTGTCGGATGGTTGTTTCGTCCAAATTTGCTCAAAGCCTGCACCAATCTGCTCACCTGCACCAATGTTCTGACCTGTGTCATGCCAATGTACTCGCCTGTACACATCTGCGGCTGGAGAGGCCTTCTGAGAATCGTAGTATTCAGGGTCCACATAGCCCAGCGTTCCCACCACTCGAGTGGAAGGCAAGGATGAGCACATGGATGTGCTTCCACACAGCTTCACGAGCCCAAAGTCTGCAACCTTTGCCTGCCCACCATCACCCACCACAGCATGATCATGCAACATGAGATTAGGTTAGGGATGAGCAAGGTGGCGAACACCTGTTCGGTTCGCCTCGAACGTGTTCGAGGCGAACCGAACAGGTTTTGTTTTTCAGCTTAAATTGTTCGCCCGAACGTGTTCGAGGTTCGCAAGAACACGTTCGTGTTCGTGGCGCTACTGCAGAACGCCCCGTGGCGAACACGAACGTGTTCGAGGTTCGCCCGAACACGCCTCCACAGGCGAACAGCGAACACCTGTTTTTGCCTAAACTGTTCGCCGAACCAAACACTGTTCGGTTCGGCAAAAGAGGGTGTTCGAGATGGGGCGAACACGAACATGTTCGTGTTCGCCCTTTGCTCATCCCTAGATTAGGTGACTCTATGCTCGGGTGTTCAAAACCCATGATAATTGAAACGGATGGACAAGGGTAGAAAAGAAATCCACTTCCACATGCAAGGTTGCTTTAGAATCTTGCCTGCATTTTTCCATCAAGGAGAATGTTGGCCGGCTTGATGTCGCGATGCACAATGTTGAAGTCATGAAGGTACTGCAACCCCTTGGCCACTCCAATCAGAATGTCCAGCCTTTGGCGCAGCGAAAAAGGATTGGAGATGCCGGGACCGATCCAGCTGGCAAGGTCGCCGTTGGGCATGAGCTCATAGACAAGAATCTGCTCCATGGTTCGTGTGGACGGGTCAAAGTCGATGCAGTAGCCCAACAGACGCACGAGATGCGGATGATGCTTGCTTGCCATTCCTTTCATCTGAGGGGGAGAATGGTGAACAAATGAAAGGAGAATGAATCATCCTTCCAACCAGCAGCCAATGTTGGAGAGGGCAAAGGAAACCATAGTTGTGGAAGACGCGTCTAGCGTCTTAGACGCTGGCGCCTAGACGCTGCGTCTAAGACGCTAGACGCAAGTATAGGCCAGATTAGACGCAGGATTAGACGTAAGCCCGGCAGGCAAAAAAAGTACGGGCAGCCATAAAACCTATTATGGGGCATGGGGAGGGGGGGGACATGGACGTATATAACATTTTTAGGCTGTTTTTCAAGGTCGAAATGGGTGGGAGGGGGTCTGTTTTTTTTTTGGGCTGCCCAAAAAAATTTACCCCATGCGTCTAGCGTCTAAGGGTGCGTCTAGCGTCTAGTGTCTAGACGCAGGACGGTCCCTGTGTCTTCCGCAACTAGCAAGAAACGTGGTACCAGCAAAGCAAGAGGCAAGAAACGTGGTACCAGCAAGAAACGTGGTACCAGCAAAGCAAGAGGCAAGAAACGTGGTACCAGCAAGAAACGTGGTACCAGCAAGACACGTGGTACCAGCAAGAAACGTGGTACCAGCAAGACACGTGGTACCAGCAAGACACGTGGTACCAACAATGAAGTGCCACCAACAATAACGTGCCACCAACAATAACGTGCCACCAACAATAACGTGCCACCAACAATAATGTGCCACCAACAATAACGTGCCACCAACAATAACGTGCCACCAACCATAACGTAGTACCAACCAACAAGAACTCACAAAATGGCACCAGATACCTCTCTCTGGAAGTCATTTGTGAGAACTCGAGCTCGTTTGACAGCCCAAGCTTGATTGCAATCGTGAGGAGAAACTCCCTTGTAGACATCCCCGAAGCCGCCACTTCCTATCCTGTTCTCCTCTGCCCACTCTCCTGTGGCCTTGGCCAGCTCTGCCAGGGAGTACTCTCGACACACATATGGCTGTGCTACTTCCGTCTCCACCACAACACCACAACGTTGCCCTCTTCGTGCTGCTACTGCAGCGCCTTCTCCCGCCCCTTCTGCTGCTGCTGATGGTGGTGTTGCTGCTGCTGATGGCGATGCTACTGCAGCCGCTGCAGCAGCTGCTGACGCACCTTCTGCTGCTGCTGATGGTGGTGTTGCTGCTGCTGATGGTGGCGCTGCTGCAGAAGCTGCTGCCAGTCCTTCTGCTGCTGCTGATGGTGGTGCCAATGCAACAGCTGCTGCTGGCCCTTCTGCTGCTGCTGACGGTGGAGTTGCTGCTGCTGCTGCTGCTGCTGCTGCTGGAACCTCTGAAGCAGCTGCTGCCACACCTTCTGCTGTTGCTGAATCTTCCTCCTTGCAGAGAGCTTCTGTAAAGGAACATAAGAGAGGGGAAGAGAGAGAAAAAAGACATACAGCGGGTAAGGGGACTGGAATACCCACAGCACCTTTTTCTATACGTTAAGGGGCCAGGAAGGACCACCACCCACCACTCTTCAGGGAATAAATTTTGCCACATTAGGATCACGTTGCCACAATGGAATCATGTTATCACATTGCGATTATGTTGCCACATTGGGATCATGTTGCCACATTGGGATCGTGTTGCCACATTGGGATCATGTTGCCACATTGGGATCGTGTTGCCACATTGGGATCGTGTTGCCACATTGGGATCGTGTTGCCACATTGGGATTGTGTTGCCACATTGGGATCGTGTTGCCACATTGGAATCGTGTTGCCACATTGGGATCATCTTGCCACATTGGGATCATCTTGCCACATTGGGATCATCTTGCCACATTGGGATTAGGGCCGCATTGTGATTATGTTGCTGAAGTGCGATCATGTTGCCACATTGGGATTATGTTGCCACATGTTAGACAACTGAGGCTAACACCACAGTTATATGACAGAGGTTGAGAATGAGTGTTGATACATTTGTATATAAGCGAGAATAACCTTTGGGAAGGGTCGAGGTATGCCTGTGCAAAGGGGCGAGCCGAGTAATGCTCGACTCGTCCCTAGCCTTGCTCGGCCGAGTACGAGCCCGAGTCGAGTAATACTCGACCGAGCATTTTTACACCAAACAGAAACTCGTTACTCGCCTTATAAAAGGGAACTCGGGCGAGCATTTAGAAAAGCTTGTCCGAGTACGAGTAAATACTCGGCCCTGTGCCCTACTCCTGCATAGAACGACTCTGTACATAACAAGGAAGGCCATTGGTACCACGGAAGTATTGGGGTTTCCAAGGTGGTCCCAGGAAGCCTAGAGAAGCTCAGGAAAGCCCTGGGTTGCCTTGGGTAGTCCAGGGTAGCCTTGGGTTGCCGCGGTAAGCCCATGGAAGCCTGCTTAGACCTGGATAGGCAAGTACTCGTCGAGCAAACAAAAACTCGGCGAGTAAAACTCGGCTCGACTCGCCCGAGTAAAATTTACAAAAACCGAAACTCGTTACTCGCACCCAAACGAGTAACTCGGGCGATACCGAGCGAGTAACTCGTCTCGTTGCACAGGTATAGGTCGAGGGACGCTCGGGGCTGAGAAAGGAAGAGCCTGTGGGAAGGGAGGTGTGCTAACTCGGTGTGGTGAGAGGAGAGGCGAAGAAGCTGAGCGGTAACAAGGCAGTGTGGTTCGACTGCAAAAGGGGGTGGCGAATGGAATGCGAATGTTGCGTGCATGCTTGCAGGCACCAAGTCCAAGGCCAGCTGGAAGCAGCGAGGAGGCAGATCTGGGCGGCCTAGCGTTAGGATCTAGTTCATCCCTGTGAAAGCTAGCAACTAACCTAGGATAGAAGGAGGTAGAATAGGGGGAACGGGCCATGGGACTTTTACTGTTTGTATGTTCTTGTTTCTTACTGTAATTTCTTCCCTGAAGATAAGCAGTGCTAGACAAGGCCACTACAAGCAGCCAGATGGGGTAGGAAGGAGCTGAGCTTAGGAAAGAGCTGCAGATTAACTGAACAAGGGAAAGGGCAAGGAGAAAGTGGGGTAAAGAAGGATAAGAAGAGGGAAGGATGAGGCACACTGGAGGAGGATAAGTAGAAGACTCAAGGCAGAATGAGGAAGCTGGATAGGGAGGATGGGGTCAGACGGTTTGGACAGTAGGATGGGGAGGCAAGGCAATGAGTCGACCAACCCTATAGACTCATTGCCTTGCCTCCCCATCCGGTCACAGCTCACCGACCCTATAGTCCGGGTCGGGTCAGCTTTTTCTGGGGTCCTTACCCGAGATCGGGTCGGTCCGACCTTACCAGTACCCGTCTCAGGTCAAGCACCGGGTTGGGTCGGGACAGGTCGATCCTTGCTCATTGTCTATTTTCACATGAGCCCCCCCCCCCTTCCCCGCCCTCCTGGTAGCTGTGCAGTAAGTTTACTCGCAAGACGCTTCTTCCAGCCGCTGCCACGTGGCGGCACGTAGCCCCTCCTTGTCAGCAGTCCACCCCTTTGTTGTAACTTTTTTATACAACATACATGGGCTAAATTGTGAGGTATGGTTGCTAAGGGGCTGTTGGGTGTACCTTCCAACCACAATCTGTGGTTCATTTTTGGTTGGGTTCCCAACACTTAATGGACTCCAATAATGTTGATCAACACCAACCAACAACCACAATAATGTTGATCAACACCAACCAACAACCACAATAATGTTGATCAACACCAACCAACAACCACAATAATGTTGATCAACACCAACCAACAACCACAATAATGTTGATCAACACCAACCAACAACCACAATAATGTTGGCCAAACCAGCCAACCATCATCAGGGCCTCTCACAACTGTAAGCCAAGCCACCTCAACTCATTCGAGATTAATCAACACAGTTTTTTGTTTTCGCACCTTTTTCCTTTGGGAACTGGCAATGATACTCGTAGTAGAGCCCCTCCTCCATCTCAAGAAACATCATGCGAACGTTGATGGCCAGCTCTTTCACTGCCTGGGCAGAAAGGAGGGGGACGGGTGGAACAGGGAGAGTGAGGGGGGAAGGTAGTTCGGAAGAGGAGGGAGAGAAGTGGAGGAGTGGAGGAGAGGGGAGGGAAGAGAAAAGGAATGGAGGGAGAGGTGTGGGGGAGAGCAGGGAGAGGAGGGGGAGAGAGGAGGAAGAGGAGTGGGTGAGGGGAGAGAAGTGAGAGCTGTATGCATGCATCGATTTTTAGGCGCCTCGAAAGCAGCACAGCATGCATGCACGTAATATGTAGACACCTCTTAGGCAGCACAGCACTCATGCATTGGGCAGGAGAGGATTTTCTTCGGGCTTTCATTGTAAGCATCTCCAGCCACTTGTCCATGTCCAGAAACATCTCTCTCTGTTCATAGTATGCGCATTGTGGGGAGACGAGGCGAGGGAGGGGAAGATGAAGGAGAGTGGAGGGGGAGAGGAGGGGGAGAGGAGGGGGAGAGGAGAGAGAGGTGGGGTGGGGGAGAGGAGAGAAGGGAGAAATAGAGGAGAGAAGTGAGAGGGAGATGGGGTTCAGCAGAGCAGGAGGACAGAGAAGAGGTGGGGATTTGAGGGTGAGAAATGCGAGGGAGGAGGAAAAAGAGGTGCGGATATGTAAGAGATGAGCGTAAAAGTGCACAAGGAGGATGAAGAAATACAAGTAACCTTAATTGGATAATGACATTTTTCAGGTCACGTAAAGTTGGCCGACCGACCAGGTGAGTAGTTTCTTAACTTGCTGTGATTCACTTGCCTACTGCTCGCTTCACAGCCAAGCTGGTCACTAGGACGGGATCATTGGTTACAGCGTGTGCCACAGCCTGTGCAAACAGCCAAGGCCTACACACACTGCACCTGCAGTCGCCCTCGAACCACCTCTTGTTTCAGTTCAGAAGCAATCAGCACTACAACCACTGGTCACACTCTACCTGGTTCCAGTGGCTTCAGCCCCTGCCACAGCCATAGGCAGTCCGTGCTACAGCCATAGGCAATCAGTGCTACAGCCACAGACACAGCTCAGAAGCAATCCAAGCACTACACAGGGCCCAATGCACACACTATACCTGATTCTGGTGGCTTTCAGCGCTGCGCTCCAGAGCAGCAACGATGAGCGGCAAGATGGTGTCGTGGTTCTGAGCCACGAGCGCCACGATGTAGTCGTTGCCCCACAGGCGCAGCGTGCGCTCCGCCACCTGAAGGAAGGAGGGGAATGGAGTTGGGGTGGGGAAGGGTGGAGGAAGAGACATGTTCGTTCAGCGCCACGAGCGTGACGATGCAGCATGCGCTTCGCCACCTGCATGGGGGGGAGGAAAATGGGGTTTGCGGGGGGAGGAAGGTGGAAAGAGACATAATAGTTCCGCGCCAGAGCGTCACGAGGCAGTCGTTGTTCCGTCAAAGCAGTGTGTGCTTCGCCACCTGCATGGGGGGAAAGGGAAATGGGGCGGAGGAGGGGGAGGCTGAAGGGGGGGGTGTATATATGGGGCATGGAATGTGAAATGTGACATAAGGACGCGGCACCTGTTTTCATATTGCCAGGATCGATCGTGGGAGGGGATCGATGTGCCGCTTGTACAGTGTATTGGCGACATCGCCAATGCCTGGTATCCGTTTTTCGCTGAACGTCGAGAATGTACAGCAAACGGGTACCCAAATTGGTGGCACCTGCAGCTCGCACGATCGATGTGCCGTGGTGCATGCGTTAGGGTTGGCGGGAGAGCATATCGCGCCACAGGTGACAGCCTCGATCGATCGGCGTCGCCCACGGTCGTAGGTCAAAAAATCTAGAGTCGCTGCGAATGGAATTGCTGGACGACCATCCACGCTCTGCCCTGATTGGCTGCGCGTTTAAGTGTAATGGCAGCTCCAACCTGCCCGAGCCTGCAATTTCGATCCTGGCACCTATAGCTCGATGTGTCTACCCCACTGCAAATTTGCAGTGTGGGCACATCGGTGTGCCGATCGATATGCCAGGATCGATGTGAGGCCACGATCCTTGTAAAATGAAAACAGGTGCCGCGTCCTAAGTGGGGCCTAAGGTAGGGTGTCACATGACACGTCAGGCAGGCAACGACAATCACATTAGCCAGAACCTAATGTCGCATCCATAAAAGAGAGTAAAAATTGCGAGCCTCACTCACTATATCCCAACTCTGGTCGCTGTCGGTTAGTTTCTGAGAATGCTTAAAGCCTCTCCAACTTGGAATGCCATACGATACTAGCGCATTCAAGAATCGAAGCTGAATTATGAAATTTTGTAAGTTTGAGGGACACGATGGCGAGAGCGTTGTGGGCATTGCACGCCGGAAGTGCGGCATCATGCTCCCCTGGAGCTCGGAAGCCTTCATGATGTGCCCCACTCCATCACACCCCGTCACACCTCTTTCACCCCATCACCGTGCCATGCCCCTTTGGTCCCTGTCACAACCCGTATACTCTGCCGGAACAGCCGTGTCACGACCATTTGACAGCTCGTGTTCTTGTGCGAGAACGCATCGCACCCAGTCACACCATATTACACAGCATCACACCGTACCTGTAATTGGGTGGGAGCCACACCTAGCCACACCCTCTCGAACCCGACCACCGTATCACATCCACACGAACAGCATCACACCCGGACACCCCCCCATACCACCGTACCTGGAAGTGGGAGGAGCTGAGGCAGAGCGCGATCTGCTGGAACAGCGGCGTCATCACCAAGTGGAACTCGAGCTCCTGCGTGAGCTCCAAAATCTTCTCCAACTCTTCCAGGAAAAGCAGCTCATTCTGGTTGTTACTTAAGGGCCAGAACTCAAGCAACCCGAGCAGCACCGAATCCGCAAGATTCGGGTCTTTTTCCACAAACAGAGTGATGCAGTACGACAGCTGCTGGTGGTACATCGACACGCACTTAGGCTTGTGCAGCGGAACCAGCGCTCGCTCCAGGATCTGCTTTCGCTCCTCCTTACTAACCGGCATCACAAATCCTTTAAGAATATCCTCTAGAAACTCTAACAGCTCCGCGATGCCGTTATGCCGCTCCGACTTTATAAACTGGTAAAAGATCTTGTTTACCGCTTCGCGGATGAACAGCCGATGAACCATGAATTTCAAGTAAATCTGGTGCATGATAGTCTTCAAGTAGCCCCGCTCGCGAGGGTCCTCCGAGTCGAACAGGTTCAGCAGCTTTAAGACGAACTCCTGGTCTATGTAACGCTTCGCCACGTCGTCCGCGTCGGTCTCGCTACTAGAGACAACATACCAAAGCAGGAACTCGTATACTATTTGCAGATGCGGCCACGCGGCTTCCATAGTCGGCTTCTTTAGCTCCGGATCGATTGATTCCGACTCGGACATCTCGTGCGCGGACGATGGTAACGGCCGGAAGAGATTAACCTCCAACATCCGCGTGATGCCTTTGAATACCGCCTCGTTGTATTTCCCCGTTCCGGATTTGACGTAGTCGACTAGCTCAAGGAGAGTTTGCCGCAATCTCCTTCCCCTCCATGTTTTTCATGGGGTCGTTAAAATCAAAGAGGTAACTGCAGAGGTGCAGCTTTTGGATGAATGCCTCCTCCGCGAAATGCGACAAATCTGCCTGCGCAATCTCGTTCGGGACGCGGCAAACGAGAGCCGTTGGATTCGCGGCGCCTGCAGGCGGATGCGGGCTTCCCACAGCGTCCGCTCCCCCCGAAGCGGCACTTGCTGCAGCTGCTCCTGCATTGCCTGCATTGTGCGACGCTGCGTGTGTGTGATTTTTCCGACCCCCTACAAACGTCTTCTTAAATGACTGAAGCATGCTAAGCCGCTTCCTGCGCGTGGAACCCTAGTACTAACCGTTACTAATATTGACACGAAATCTTGAATGCCAGGGTTTGTTGAAGTATGTTCGACGTTAGAAGGTGAACTGAGTGGAAGAAGATGCTTTCGACGCGTCGCGTCGAAACGAAATCAGGCTGAACAGCTTCGGAACTCCCGTAGGGGCTGGACATCTCACGTTTGGCAGCCTTGGAAAACGACTGATTGGTTGGAAAGCTTGCTGGCTGCTTGGGCAGGACATTTTGCACTACCGAAATCGGGTCCTGCGATAAGTAGAGATTCCAAGCTTTTGAACTGTATACATTTGCAAAGGTTATTTTAAATTTGGTAATCCCAAACCCTTGGAGTCCCTCGTCCCAGAACGGAGGTGATCCCGCCAACACCCCAGAGCAGTGGCTTTTGCTGGTCGTTCATGACTTCAGGAAAACCGGAAATGTAAGGAAAAAAAACCCTAACAGGGTTTACGAGTACAACCCCCATGTTATAATTAGGAGCTTGGATAGGATAAGCCTGCCTTAAGATATTTGGTTGCGGAAGTCTTTGTGGAAGCAAACTTGTGCATAGTGGATGTAGGTTGTTACAAATAGTGAAATGCGAAGAACAAAGAACACAAGGAGTACGAAGGCGAAAGGTCGAAGCGACGCGACATTTATATCCCTCTATACTCTAATTTATATGACGTTTTTGTGCGACGTTTGGTATCCATCTATACTCTTATTTATATGCATGTATTTGCATGTGTTGATCATCTCAATCATTTTACATTCACTCAGATTTGAGGTCAAGGGCCCACCACTACCACATATTCTGTGCGAACCTTTCCGAGGTGATCCTGGTTACGATCAACTTCTAATCGCAGCATGGTACCGTATGGCCCCGGATATAGGCGCCATCCGATTAAAGGCGCCGGCGTCTCTATCTAGAGCATGGCGCTTATGGCCGTTCCTCGATTATAAGCGCCCCCCCCCCCCCCCCCCCCCCTGGTCAGAACTATACTCTAGGCTGTAGTGGGGCACTCCTTATGAGGTACAGCCCTGATAGGGGCTGGAGCTGGGGGCCCTGCTGCGGGAGGCGCTGGGGTTGGAGGCATTGGAGCTGACGCTGTCCCTCTCTCCCCACAGCAGCTGCGTGAGTGGTACGTTAGCCGTCAGGGTCGCGCTGCTGGAGCTGGAGGCCCTGCTGCGGGAGGCGCTGGAGCTGGTGACTCTGCTCCTGGAGGCGCTTCTGCTGGAGTTACTGGAGCCACTGGCCCCGGAGGTGCTCGTACTGGAGGTACTGGAGCTGCTGAGGCTGGAGGTACTCCTGGTTCTGGGGGTGCTGCTGCTGGAGACACTGAGGCTGGAGACTCTGGGGCTGGAGGTGCCGGTTCTGGGGGTGCTGCTACTGGTGGCGCTGGTCCTGGAGGTGCTGGCGCTGGAGGTTCTGGAGCTGCTGGAGGTGCTCGTATTGGAGGTGCTGGCGCTGGAGGTTCTGGAGCTGCTGGCGGTGCTCGTGCTGGAGGCGCTGGAGCTACTGGTGCTGCTGGCACTGGAGGTTCTGGAGCTGCTGACAGTGCTGGTGCTGAAGGTGCTGGCGCTGGAAGTGCTGGCGCTGGAGGTTCTGGAGCTGCTGGAGGTGCTGGCGCTGGAGGTTCTGGAGCTGCTGGAGGTTCTGGAGGTGCTGGAGGTGCTGGCGCTGGCGGTGCTGGTGCTGGAGGTGCTGGCGCTGGAGGTTCTGGAGCTGCTGGAGGTGCTCACACTGGAGGCGCTGGAGCTACCGGTGCTGGTGGCACTGCACAGCCGCGACTGTTCTTCGCTCCGCCGTCACCTTCGTCTCTACCACCGCTTGACTCCGTGCTTCGCCACATTCTTAGCATCCCGTCTTCTACTGGTCTTCCGTTACAGACTGGCTCCCCTCTCCCTGCTCCTTCTCCTTATACTTAGCAGACAGGAGGTCTTGCTGAGCGTCGTGAGCCTGCGTCTCGTCGTGTCTCGCCTGCTCGCACTGTCCGCACTGCTCATACTGGTCGTCGTGTTCCTCGTGAGCGTCCGCCGACTGTCCCCGGCACACACCTCATGGCCCTGCGTCCTTCCTTTGCTCCGCAGCGTGTTCCCCTGCCGTCCCCTCCTGCGTCTTCTCTGCCTGACGTTCCAGACCCTGAGTCTGATAGCGCTCGTGCTGCTCACCCTACTGTCACGCGTCTGCTAGCCACTGTTGTCACTGACCCGTCGTTTGAGTCTACTGCTGCGTCTGCCTTAGTCGCTAAGCTTGTTGACTTTGCTGCTCCCTGTCGTCTAGACTACGTCGCTTATCTTGTTGCTGAGTCTGAGTCTGTCTGTCCTCCGTCCGTCGGGGGTGAGTGTGCTCTTGGCACGGACGTCCTTGAGGACAGGCAGGAGGAATTCCAGTCTTTTGCTGCTGCTTTACCTCATCTCGTGTCCATGCTGCTTGCCCTTGAGGGAGACCCGGATGCACCAGACATCCCTACCCCGCGCTCTTACGCAGAGGCGATTGTCAAACTTATATGCTATAGTCTGTGTAGGCTGTAGTGGGGTAGACTATATGGGGTACAACATTTCTAGGTTTTCCTACTTGTACCCACCTGCTTGCTAGTTCATTCATTCCTCATTTCTTCACATGGTATAGAGCAGGTTCCCTAGTGGGAACGCTTCCTAGGGCCCACCACGGTTTTTTTTTTTTCCTGCCCGGAGCGCGCTTTGCTCCTGCCCGAGTCGCGCCCCGTGTGCCCTCCCTACCGTCGCGCCCTCTCACGGCCCCTCACGGCCCCTTCGCGTCGCCCTTAGCGGCCCCTCTCACGGCCCCTCGCGCCGCCCTTACGGCCCCTCGCGCCGCCCTTACGGCCCCTTACGGCCCCTCGCGCCGCCCGTCGGCCCCTCGCGCCGCCCTTGCGGCTCCTTACGGCCCCTCGCGCCGCCCTTACGGCCCCTCGCGCGGCCCCTTCCGGCCCCTCGCGGCGCCCTTACGGCCCCTTACGGCCCCTTACGCCGCCCTTCGAGGCCCCTCTCGCGGCCCCTTTACGGCCCGTCGCCACCCTCCGCGGCACCTCGCGCCGCCCTTCACGGCCCCTTCGCCGCCCTTCGCGGCCTCTCGCGGCCCTGTCGCCGCCCTTCGCAGCCACCTCGCCGCCCTTAGCGGCCCTCGCTGCCGCCCCTAGCGGCCCCATCGCCGCCTCTACCGGCCCCCCCTCCTTCGTCGCTGAACCGCCCAGCAGCTGAGCCGCCGAGCCGCCCAGTGACCCAGCCGCCTAGCCGTCGAGCCGCCCAGCAACCGAGCTGCCGAGCCGCCCAGCAGCCGAGCCGCCCAGCAGTCGAACCACCGAGCCACCCTGCCGCCGAGCCGCCCAACAGCCGAGCCGCCCAGCAGCCGAGCCGCCGAGCCGCCCAGCAGCCGAGCCGCCGAGCCGCCCAGCAGCCGAGCCGCCCAACAGCCGAGCCGCCGAGCCGCCCAGCAGCCGAGCCGCCCAGCAGCCCTGCCGTTGAGCCGCTACTGTTCCTACCGGCGCGCCCCGGCCCTACTTACTCGGACTGGTGAGATCCCTCCCTGCTAGGCCACTGCAGTCATGGCTACCCCCAGTGTCCTTACCTTTGATGCTGAGGGTCGTGCTGTTGACTCTGAGGTCTGGGTCGATGACCTCCAGCTGTTCCTACAGTGCGATAGGGCTGACGGACTCTCGCTGTTCGATCTCACCTCTGGTGCCTCTCCTGCCCCGCCTGCTACTGCTGACAGCACTGTTCGCTCACAGTGGGCCACACGCGATGCTGCTGCCCGTCTTGCTGTGCGTTGCCACTTACCGACCACTGAGCGTGCGCACTTTAGCCAGTACAAGACTGCTCAGACCTTGTACGACGCTGTAGTTGCACGCTACTCCTCCCCTGCCACTGCTGCGCTCAGCCGCCTCATGCTGCCGTACCTGTTCCCTGACCTTGCTTCCTTTCCCACAGTCGCCGACCTCATTACGCACCTTTGCACTAGTGACACTCGCTACCGCGCTGCGCTTCCTGCTGAGTTCTGTGCCAAGAACCCCCCCCCCATGTACATCACCCTCTACTACATAGTCACCCGGCTCCCTGACTCCCTTCGCTTAGTCAGGGACCACTTCCTCTCAGTTTGCCCCACCACACTCACCGTTGACCTCCTCGAGGAGCGCCTCCTAGCAGCAGAGAAGAGCATAGTCGCTGTAGGAGCCTCTCGTGGTGACCCTCGCACCCCCGTCTTTGAGGGGTGTTCCCCTTCCCCCCTCTTGCCCTCTGTTGCTTCTGCTGCTGCGGCCGACCTCGTTGGTTTCGAGTCGGTCGGCGCGGCGTCTGCCCCTAGCGGGAGACACCGCACCGGCAAGGGCAAGGGGGGCAAGGGCGCTGGAGGGGCTGGCGGGGGCGGTGGAGGTGGTGGTGGAGGCAGTGGAGGGGGTGGGGGTGGTGGTGGGAGTGGTGGCGGGGGTGGAGGTGTCGGTGGCAGCAGTGGAGGCGGAGGAGGCGGCGGCGGTGGCGGAGGGAGCGGAGGCGGCGGAGTTGGCGGAGGCGGCGGAGGTGGCGGAGGCG